CGATGACCTCCAAGGTCCCTTCCAACTTTATTATTATTATTATTATTATTATTATTATTATTAATAATAATAATAATAATAATAATAATAATAATAATGATGATGTTGGAAGGGACCTTGGAAGTCATCTAGTCCAACCCCCTGCTCAGGCAGGAAACCCTATACCATTTCGGACAAATGGCTGTCCAGTCTCTTCTTAAAAACTTCCAGTATCGGAGCATTCACCGCTTCTGGAGGCAGGTGGTTCCACTGGTTAATTATTTAAACACAGTTACTTCTCTCCCGCCATTGTTCTCCCCGATTAGATATTTCAGCTTAGAAAGATTTACGATCTTGATTGAAATTAAACTGATTAATGGAAGGATGGATCGATATCGGCCTGTAATGTAAAGTTGATTTAGGCAGGGAAATCCCACGGATCTAAAATCGTTCGTCAAGTTACAAAGGATACAGGAAAGTAATAAGGAAGTCAAACATGGACGGAGGCAGCCACACCGGCAAATGGAAAAGAGGTTAACAACATATAACAACAACAAAGTTGGAAGGGACCTTAGAGGTCATCTAGTCCAACCCCCTGCTCAGGCAGGAAACCCTACTCCGTTTCCTATCCAACCCTACCTCATCCCTGCAATATCTCCCAGAATTCAACTCCCAGAATTCCTCAGCCAGGCAGTCTTCCAACATGGCCCTTGGATGACTTGTGGACTTCAACTCCCAGAATTCTGGGAGTTGAAGTCCACAAGTCATCCAAGGGCCAAGTTGGAAGACCCCTGCTATATATATATATGGGAAGAGGACCCCCCCAATGTATTTTTGGGGGGGGGTGGCAGAAGAGGCTGCCTGAGTGCCCTTCCTGAGGGGAGATGGTATCCCCCAGAACGAGACCTGCATGACAGGCGCTCCAATGCCTCCTGCAGGGGTTGGGCTAGAGGACCTCTGAGGTCCCCTTCCTTGGAGGGAAAATACTGCCATTGCAGATTCTTCTGGGGGGGGGTGCAGTTTCGCACCCAAGAAAGCAGCTCTAAGCTTTAAAATTAATTAATTTTTTTAAAAAAATCAGACGCTGAACTGAGTCCCCCTCCGGAAGCCTCCATTTCACAGGTTAAGTCCTCAACTTAACGACCAAAATTCAGCCTGGGAGAAATTGGCTCCAGAGGCTTTTTGTCCCGCTCTACGACTTTTCGTTAAGTAAGCCACTGGCAATCTATCATGACGTTGAGGCCGCACGGTCGCTAAACGAATCCGGCTTGCCCCCCCCTCCCCACTGAGTTTGCTCGTCAGAAAGGGAATCGCACGACACACACACACACATGCCCGGGGACGCTGCGACCGTCGTTAAGTATGAACCGGTCGCCGAGCCCCCCAAACGTAAACACGCGCGGCCACGGGGATTGTTAAGGACGGTCGTAAGTGTGAAACACACGGTCGCATGTCGGTTTTTTTCAGTGCGGTTCTAAGCTTGGTCACTAAACAAAGCATTGTGGGTCAAGGACTG